CGAAAGCAGCTGTATGGTTTGGGGGCCCGACTTTGAGTGTTAGCGTACCGCAATGGCCATGTGATCAGCATTTGGATCCGTGCACGGTATGTAGCCGAAGAATCTGCTCTATCCCATTCCCTGTTTGCTCCTGCAGTGCTTAAAATCCACTCTCCTGGGAGCTTTCCTTAGAAATGTGGCGGAAAATTGGATATTCTCCCCTCAATGCAAAAGCTAATGTTCCACCCCAGCTGCACCAGCTGACAGCAGCTTGAGCCAGGAGATGTGATAGGAGCTGGGGTGCAAATAGGGAGCTCCAAATATCCCTGCAAAACTCCAGGAAAAAAAAGTCTTAAAAGAAGTGTATGTTACGATTTACCATTGCTGGCATCTTCAGTTCACATGAGCAGGCATAGGGGCATATATGTTAAAAAAAAAAAAAAAAAGTTGAGTCCAAAAATCTTCACTCACGCAGATTTGATTCCATTCACTTTTTGCTGTTCATGTGAATGATAACATTGGTCTGTGTTCACACACTTTTTCTCATAGTGTACAAGAAACTTTCAGGTATTGCAACTCTCCAGAATCTACCATATACTGAAATGTCGGTTTTTCATAGATTGACCCTTTCTATCCTTTTCCCAAAGCACAACAATGCTCAAGATAAGAATCCCATTATCCTCAATGGGCCCATTCACACCTGGGCGTCACCTAGCTTGTTGTGCTTGAAGCTGGAAATTAAATTCTTTGTGGCCAAATGATGTGTTTTTTTGGCCCCATAGACTTTAAAAATGAAAAAATGTATGTGTGTATTTCAGGAGCTCCCATTTAAAAGACTACGGGGCCAAAACACACGATTCTGCTTCAAGTCACGCAGAATGTGCAACAAAATCCTTTAAATTTCCTGGCTTCGTTCATACTAAGTGTGAGTAGGGCTAGAGACAGAGGCGGACTGACAACTCATGGGGCCCCCGGGCAATAGGGGATCATGGGGCCCCTGTGTCCTTGCCCACACTCATAAAAGCCTATAAAAAAAAGTACCAGGGGCATTTCATGGGGCCCCCTACTGACCCCGGGCCCTCAGGCAGTGCCCGAGTGCTTGAATGGTCAGTCCGCCCCCTACTGACCCCGGGCCCTCGGGCAGTGCCCAAGTGCTCAAATGGTCAGTCCGCCCCTGCCCCCTACTGACCCCGGGTCCTCAGGCAGTGCCAGAGTGCTCGAATGGTCAGTCTATCCCTGCCCCCTACTGACCCCGGGCCCTCGGGCAGTGCCTATGTGCTCGAATGGTCAGTCCGCCCTTGACTAGAGAAGTTGGAAAAACCAGATCCACTCTTAAGGTGGGAATACAGATTAGAAAATCGACCGATCGGTCATCCGATGACCGAGAGGTGTTCGTTCCTTCGTTGGTCGAAATCGTGGCCCACATTAACCAATCTTAAAAAAAAATCCTTCGTCGGGCAATACGTAGTGTTGACATCTTCCGTACAAGTGGAAGTGATGCGGTGTGCGTGTGACCTTGTGGTCACGCCCTTCCGGCCAGAACGAGCGATATACACAACAATGACCAGCAATGAGTATAATATCGTTTATTACATGACCTATATACATAAATAGTGATACATAAAATATAATCTGCACAATTCTGGGTTCATGATCTCATTAGGCCAATCTACTTTTAACATTCCGAAGATTCCTTGGACATAAACCATCCGGGTCATCTTCTGTTTCCGCTCATGCGTGATAGCGCTTGATAGATTTTTTTTTTCGTACGACCGTCATACCACCGCATAAAAAAATCGGTCGTGTCGTATGTGAAATGACAACATTTTTTCACTGTTGTTCAACCGGATTTTTTTGTTCATTATATCGTTATCGGTTAAAACATCCTGCTCATCAACGAAGAGAAAATCGTTCGATCAGCGGTTCTGTAAAATTTTTTGCACAATTTTCTTATTGTGTATTGGGGCATTAGGCTAGGTTCACATCTTTGTCTGCATTTTTTAATGAGCTTTTTAACAGTTCAGTGCATTTCTGCGTGTGTGTGTGTTTTTGTTTTTTGTTTTTTCTTTAGGAGGGATGGGGGGCTGCTTGTTATATGACAACTCACCAAATTGGATGTTAATTAAGGTCTGTGGAGAGCAGGTTGTGCACCAACCAATACACCTGTACTCGGGCGGACTGACCATTTGGAAACTCGGGAGCTGCCCGAGGGCCCGGGGTCAGTAGGGGGCCCCATGAGATGCCCCTGGTACCTTTTTCATAGGCTTTTTTGAGTTTGGGCAAAGACACAGGGGCCCCATGATCCCCTATTGCCCGGGGGCCCCATGAGTTGTCAGTCCGCCCCTGCCTGTACTATTCTTTTGTGAGAAGCTTCCATCAAAAAAATGGCAACCTTCTTTTCCTGCATTACCGCAGCTTGGGCAAATTGCATTCAATTGTACAAGTGTGAACCCGACCTTAGGGATGCCTTTTAGCTCGATCCTTTGTAAATGTCCATTACTTTTGAAAGCAGTTGTTGGGAGGTCAAAAACAACTTGATCATTGAAATTGCTGTTTGAAATAATGGGACGTTTGTTTGGTGCTTAACCCCTCAGGAATGAGGACACTTATCAGCTGTGTTAAAATCAAAAAGTTTTCTTTCATATATTCCATATAACAATGTTAAAAAAAACTTTTTTTAAAGTGTTACTAAACCCACAACAGTACAATCAGTCTGTATATGCAGTAAAGCATGCTTGGTATACTCACTGTGGAACATAAGGGGTTAATCCTCTGCATTATGTAAAAGGCTGTTTGATCCTGTCTTCTCTGATCCTCCCCTTCCAGTGTCCCCCTCTTATCTCCTGATAAGACATATTGTGTAGAGACACTCTGCACATGCTCAGTTTGGTGTGTATTACTAGAGAGTTTTTCTTTTTTTTGGGAGAGCGCATGTGATCAGCACAGGGCCAATCAGACCTGTCCAGACAGAGATCAGAGGTTCTGATCCTAGAGCAGAAAGAAAACTCCCCCTGCAAGCTTTAAATATATTTTTTCAGATTTTTTTTACATATGAAAAAGTCATTTTAACATATATTTTTTACATATATGTGTAAATGCAATCCAAAAAATGTAGATTTGTATTTTTAAAGACATACAGTATATTTTGAAATGTATTTTTAAAAATATATTTTTTAATAAAAAAACGCATTTCAATCAGCATCTGAATAGGTGTGGGTACATCTGAAAATCACGGTGGTGAATTGGAGTCATACTCTGTCAAAGTGGTGTTTTTTTGGGATTTTGATATATATATTGAAATATATTGACTATGGCCAAAATTGTAGCATTTCATATATATATGTCAATATATTTGGGAAGAATATTTTTAAAATATATTTTAAAATATATTTTTTTTCTTCTATGTGGGCAAAAAAAGGTGCAGGAGGTACTTAAGTGCATATGTTGTGTGTAGGGCAGCCCATTCAAGTGAACGGCTGTCCTATGCTGTTGCACAACAAATGCATAGAACACGCTTAAGTGTGTCACACATATATGCTAGGCCCCCTTTTTTTAATAATAAATAGTAATAATCTGTTTATTTTTCCAAATGTAGTTTGAACCATCTGACAGATGCGTTTTATCTTGATACTTTCTACTTTACAACTACTGTCCATAATGCAGATGCTACCCCAGTGTTCATGTGAAATTATCTAACTTGCATACAGGTAAAAATAATTTTAAAAACTATCTTTGTGGAAATGAGTATAGAATGTATTAATGATACCGGACGCAACGCGTCAGGAGGGGAGGATTGTGATGTCATCCCGCTGGTCGGGACATCCATGGGACTGTGCAAAGGCTTATGAACAGTACAGGAGTTTCTTACATACAGAGATGCCAGTGTTCTCTTTTTTAGTGAGAGTGTGATTCTTTTGCTTCAGAAAATACATTATTTATTTATTTCAGGTACTTATATAGCGCCGTCAATTTACACAGCACTTTACATATGTATTGTACATTCACATCAGTCCCTAACCCTCAACGGGCGTACAATCTAAGGTCCCTAACCCTCAACGGGCGTACAATCCTAAGGTCCCTAACTCACATTCATACACAGACTAGGGCCAATTTAGTCAGGAGCTAATTAACCTTACCAAGCATGTCTTTGGAGTGTGGGAGGAAACTGGAGTACCCAGAGGAAACCCACACAGGCACAGGGGAGAACATGCAAACTCCAAATACATTTTACACAGTTTGCACTATGAGCTCTCGTTGTGCTCTATGGCTATTAACCCTTGATAAGGGGTTAATCCTAACATGGTGTAAAATGCTGTTTGATCCTGACTTCTCTGATCCTCCCCTTCTTCAGTGTCCCCTTCTTATCTCCTGATAGGACCAGATCGTGTGGAGTCACTCTGCACATGCTCAGTTTGGTGGTGTATTGCTAGAGAAGGTTTTTTTTTTTGGGGGGGGGGGAGTGCATGTGATCAGCTCAGGGCCTGTCTCTCCAAACAGAGATCAGGGATTCTGCATCCTCCTAGTGCAGAATGAGGAACGCCTCCTGCAAGCTTTAACATGTGCTCAGCTGGACAGTGATAGGCATCACAAGACTGCTCTAACTGTTGATGGGAAAAGGTATTTAGCAGTTTATATTTACTACAATAATTGCATTTCCATTTCTGTGTACTGTGGGAGACCAGATATAGTGAATGCAGGGTCCGGGGAGACCAGATATAGTGAATGCAGGGCCCGGGAGACCATATATAGTGAATGCCGGGTCCGGGGAGACCAGATATAGTGACTGCAGGGTCCTGGGAGACCAGATATAGTGAATGCAGGGTCCGGGGAGAGCGGATATAGTGAATGCAGGGTCCAGGGAGACCGGATATAGTGAATGCAGGGTCCGGGGAGACCAGATATAGTGAATGCGGGTTCAGGGAGACCAGATATAGTGACTGCAGGGTCCGGGGAGAGCGGATATAGTGAATGCGGGGTCCAGGGAGACCAAATATAGTGAATGCGGGGTCCGGGGAGAGCGGATATAGTGAATGCCGGATCCGGGGAGACCGGATATAGTGAATGCCGGGTCCGGGGAGAGCGGATATAGTGAATGCCGGGTCCGGGGAGAGCGGATATAGTGAATGCCGGGTCCGGGGAGAGCGGATATAGTGAATGCCGGGTCCGGGGAGAGCGGATATAGTGAATGCCGGGTCCGGGGAGAGCGGATATAGTGAATGCCGGGTCCGGGGAGAGCGGATATAGTGAATGCCGGGTCCGGGGAGAGCGGATATAGTGAATGCCGGGTCCGGGGAGAGCGGATATAGTGAATGCCGGGTCCGGGGAGAGCGGATATAGTGAATGCCGGGTCCGGGGAGAGCGGATATAGTGAATGCCGGGTCCGGGGAGACCGGATATAGTGAATGCCGGGTCCGGGGAGAGCGGATATAGTGAATGCAGGGTCCGAGGAGACCGGATATAATGAATGCCGGGTCCGGGGAGACCGGATATAGTGAATGCCGGGTCTGGGGAGACCGGATATAGTGAATGCAGGGTCCTGGGATTAGTAACACTTTAAGTTAAGTAATATCCCACTCAGGTTTGAAACACATTTTGTAGGAAACACCTTGCATCCACCCTATTATATCAGTGTGTAACACACTTGTGCTGTTCTTGGTGCAGTGTAGCTTCTGCAGACCAAATTATGGCAAAAGCATAGCCATCACACTACATCACATAACAATATCAGGTATAAGATGAATGGGGGGAGAGATCACATCTGTATGCGTTTCACATTGCAGCTTCCTCAGGAGGTACCGATGTAATAAGATAGCAACCTACTCTGGTATCAGTGGGATTAGCGTGGTCTGGAAAGTAACCAGGGGAGAGGAGAGACCCAGGGTAACGAAAAGGTTTCCTGTCACTAACAGTGGAGAACGTTTTATATAGAATTAAACATTATTATTTATTATACATTATTATTATTATACATGTAAGGAAAAACATTTATTTAATTTTGAATTCAGAATTTGGTGTTTTTCCCCATAACCTTGAAAACTTTTTAAAAAGTACTCCTCGCCTTTCTCCTACCTTCAATGCTTGGATGATATTGGAATGTTTTTTCTACTCAAAAGGAAAAAAAAAAAAAAGGAAACTAAGAGGAATTTTTAATGATCCCCTCTGAAGTTTCACTTAAAATACATAGTATTATTTCTCCTTGGAAAACCAGTTCTGTCTGCACCGTGTTTATAAGAACGGACCGATTATAGGACCAAAACCAGACTGAATAAGGTTGTGTCGTTAAATGGTTTAATCAGAGTCTGGGAGATCAGCCTTGGAGGTTCCAGAAATACGTATATTTTTTTTTCTTTGCCTGATCATCTAATTGACTGTGGTTTCACGCATCTCTTCTGAATTTTATTGAAATAACCATGTAAAATTATATTTTGGTGAGCGCTCATGTTCATAATTAAGAATGCAGCAACAGAAAAGGACTAAGACGAACAGCGTAGTTCCTTAGAGAGGCCTTGTCTTCCGTCTGTTGATTAGCTTGAGAACTTTGCAAAGAACGTTGTTTGCATTTTGTGGGATGTTGACTGTACATCTGCTAATGGTTTCACAAATGTTCATTTCCTCCATATTGGAAGGTTTTTCACTGAGGCTCACTCCGAAGACACCTACCCAATGAGCATCTATGATCTTCATTGTGGCATTCATCTCGTTCTGCTGGATATCCTATAAAGCTAACGTGCTATAGTTGCCTATTTCCATCTTTATTGAATGGCCTTTTTGACATCAAAAACTTCAGAAATCTACAAAGGAATATATACACCATTTTTTATGCCAGTGATGAGCCTATTAAACAACCAAAGCCTCAAAGTTTCTCAGCTAGGTTCTTTTAGAGGTTGGTAGGGGTTCCTTGAGCAGTGAAGACCTTTTACCTCCCAGTTACCACAGATACCAATTTTCTTCTTAGCTAAGGTGGACAGTTTCATACTGGCCAACAATGTAGACTTGTCCTCCCACTTATTTATATAAGGGGTCCATCTTCCATTTCCCACCACTGTATGGCACCACAACATCGACTATCAATATGAGAAGGCACTTTTCCACTGACGACCAGTGTAAGGGGCACTACAGTTTTCATTGTTGATGTTTCTTATTATTTGTTTCATTTCATGATTGTTTCTGAAACAATTACAACCAATATAACCTTTCAAATGAATGTAAATCCATGTAATACATGTTCCCTACCTAAAGCACCTACCTGCACCACAGAAAAATAAAATATGGTACTGAGGAAAAACAAAAAAAAAATCAGCTTTAATGTAAAACTTTAAATAACTTGGAATTAAGATGGATGCACAGATTAAAAACTGTGGAAATTCTCGCATAGTGCCCTATTAGACAGTTGTCACTAGAACAGGCGTTCCCATGGGAAGATTTCTCCTTACCTCTTGTCCTGGTGAAAACTACATTTTTGGATTTTCCTTCACTTTCTGTCTTGGAGACAGTGGTCAGCAGAAAAGAAGAATCTTCCCAGTGGCGACTCAGACAACAATAAAAACCTGACAGAGGTTTGAATCCCTTTGCCACTACATCCAAGACTAGACTTAAAGAGGAACTTCAGCGGGTTTGTAAAAATGTAAAGGTCGGCAGCTAAATGTGAACCGCTACGGTTGACATTTAGGAAACAGACACATATCAACCCATAGAGTCCAGCACTGTCCTTCCCACAGCTGATTCATCGCTGGGCTTTGGATATCTAGCGCCAATCATACTGGATTTGGGAGCTTGCTGTTACTTCTGATGTCTCAAGGCAGCTCTCTACTCCACATGCATGAGGCACTGCAAGACAGGTCAGGGGTGTGAAAATATTTGAGCTTGTCCACGGGACTAAGGGGGTCCCAATCTACATTTAGGAAACAGGCACATATCAACCCATAGAGTCCAGCACTGTCCTTTTCCCACAGCTGATTCATCGCTGGGCTTTGGATATCTAGCACCATCATACTGGATTTGGGAGCTTGCTGTTACTTCTGATGTCTCAAGGCCAGCTCTCCACTCCACATGCATGAGGCACTGCAAGACTGGTCAGGGGTGTGGAAATATTTGAAAAAACTACTTGTCCATGGGACTAAGTTGGGGTCCCAATCTACTTGTCCCTCATGACAATCTACTTGTCCTAATTAACTTCTTCGCGCCAGCCGCACGCAAATGTGCGGCTTCCCGGGGTCTGGACCTTGACGCTGAGCGGCCGCACATTTGCATGCAATTAAGAAAAACATATGTGCTGAGAGCGCGCTCCCAGCACGCATGTCCGGTACTCATGGAAAGGTCCCGATCTCCTCTTTCGATTGGGACCTTTCCCGATCATGTGACAGCGAATCATGGCGGTCACATGACCCTAAAACCCCCGGCTTCTGAAACCCTTAAAGGGCCGGGAGTCGCCGGTGCCAAAGGGGTTAAAGAAAAGCACCGATCGGGTGCTCGTCAGGAAAGAGAAGCATCGGGCTGTCTTAATGCTCAGCAGAAGTGCACCTGCAGAGCGCACAAATGAGGCTCCTGCTCCATTGAGAAAACAAGAAAAAAACTTTTATTTCTTCAGGTTACCCTCGCACATGGAAGCACTTGAGTGCTCAGTACAAATGCATGCTGAGCAGCCAAATCAAGCTCTAGTGTCCGCTCCGTTAACCACTTAAAGTGGTAGTAAACTTGATAATTTAAGACAAAAACCTTTCCCCTGCAAGGCAATGTCACAATGTGCTAGTATGCATCACCTTAAAACGAAGCACTCTAGCTGTGCGCTGTCACTGCTGATAGGGCTTCCATCTTCACCTGGTCCTTTTTCCGGGTTCGCAAGCTCCAGCAGCTTGAATGGCCGAGCCACATTGCCATCACTCCAGATGCGTAGTCGAGTCACTGTTTATGGCACCCAGCTCTGAAGGAACAGCACTGGTGCATGCACTCTGAAGGAAAAGCATACCGCTGATGTTCCTTCAGTGACTCCCCTGCGCATCTGGAGTGATGTCAATGTGGCTCAGCGCTGCTACAACGGCGCTGCTACACAAGTAAATATCTCCTACACAGTGCATGTTTAGGAGATATTTACAGTACCTACAGGTAAGCTATATTATGGGCTTACCTGCAGGTACAAGATACACAAACAGACTTTACTACCACTTTAAACTCCCTTTATGACCAGGAATTCAAGTTAAAGCGCTATCGTCAAAAGAAGATGCCATATCTGAATATGATCCAGAAATGCTGCAGTCCTCTCTGGGCCAAAGCTCATTTGAAATAGTCTGTTGCAACGCGGAAAAGTATTCTGTGGTCAGGCAAATCAAATTTTCACATTCTTTTTGTCATCCCTGGGAGCCACATCCTCCGAATTAAAGAGGAGAGGGACCTTCCGGCTTTTTTTCCGCACTCAGTTCAAAAGCTTACATCTCTGATGGTATGGGGATGCATTAGTGCCTATGGAATGGGCAACTTGCACATGTGGAAAGGCACCATCAATGCAGAAATATTGATCCATGTTTTTGAGCAACATATGCTCCCATCCAGATGATGTCTTTTCCAGGGAAGGCCTTGCATATTTCAGCAGGACAATGCTAATCCACATACTGCATCTATGATAACAGCATGGCTTTATAGTAGAAGAGTTCGGGTGCCTAACTGGCTGGCCAGCAGGGCAGACTTTTCACCAAATGAAAATATTTGGCACATCTTGGAACGCAAAATATGACAAAGAAGATCCAGGACTCTTGAGCAGCTAGAATCCTATATCAGGCAAGAATGGGACAACGTTCCTCTCCCAATAGTCCAGCAATTGGTCTCCTCATTTCCCAGATGTTTACAGAGTGTTGTAAGAAGAGGAGGCACTGCTACACCTAAACTTGGATCTGTCTCAACTTTTCTTGAACGTGTTGCTGCCATCAATTTCAAAAGGACCTTATTTTTTTCTTAAAATGGTCTATTTTTTCAGTTTAAACATTTGATATGTTTTCTATTTTCTGTTGTGAATAAAATATGGGTTTATGAGATTTGCCTTTTGTTTTCCTGTACATTTTACACAACATCCCAAATATTTTAGAATTGGGGTCGTATATGCTCTTGTGTTGAACCTGACTTGATATGTGCAGATCAAAGCGGCTCAACTGATATGATGTGAACACGCTCAAAGGGTAGGTTCACATTTGTGTGTTGCAAGAATGCACATAAAATCTTGCAAAAAAAAGTAGCTTCTCAATACGGTTGTCAGAGCACATGGCAACAGAGTACCCTGGGTTTGCTGCACTATTTAAAAAAAAAAAAAAAAAAAAAAAAAGGCCACTTTTGTATGATTTTTGCATATAGGGCAGCTGTTGAAATGAATAAGTTGCTCTAAACCTGATGCACAAAATCTCTCAAAATCACACACATCCTTAATGGCACCCAAAGCTTCTTGCTAATGCAAGGTAATATTCCTGGTATATTGGGTTTATCAGTGACTAGCAGACCAATATCATTATTTAAATTTCAAACTTTCTGTTTATTGTAGGGAAAAAATGTATGTGGATTCCATTTTCCCACACTT